AAAATATATAATTTTAGCATTTCTGCATGCATGTATATATATATATAGGGGTTTTAAAAATAATTTTTAAAATTATTTCTAAGTGTAATAAACGAATTAATTATTTTTTTGGGTGGTTTTAAAAATCTCATTTTTAAAACTTGATAAAAATGATTTTATAAATTTTAATGGATTATAAGTGAAGGTGACAAAAGGGTAGATTTTGTCTTAGCCTTCATTCATCTGGTTTACCAACAAGTAAATTTATTCCATTCATTTACTTTTATAAATGGTTAACATAAACTATTTTTTAAATTTAATACATTCTCAATTAATCATAATTAATTAAATATATTTATATTTAATATTTTTAAAAACTTAAAAATATCAACTTGAGATATATCATCAACTCAAATTTCATCACAGATATCATTATATCGATTTTAATTGAAATCGTCATTCTCTCACTCAATCTTTAGGAAAAATATACTTCCAATTTTATTGAACTTTGAAAAAACATAGTAAATAGCATTATTATGATATAACATCAATTCTATGTTCCAAAGTTGATTTTCACAATAGGTCACGCCTCACGCATATCATACTTTCTCTTTTAAACTCCTAAAGTGGGCTTTTGGATAATGTTTTTTCTTTTCGCACCCTTCTCTCTTTCTCTTCTTCCACACTTCACTTTCTCTGCATCTTCCCTCCTCCCGTTTAATCCCTTTTATTTCTATTTTCTTCCACCCACTGTCCTTAACTTCTCCTTTATTTCAAAGAAAATAACTTCCCTAGTATACAAATATACAACAAAAAAGAAATCGTTTTATAAATAAAAACTACTTTCAACACAAAATAAGAAGAACATGAGAAAGTTAGGATAGAAATACTGACTAAAATCCCAAACTAACTGCTGTGTTACATGTAGCTAAATATTTTTAAATTATGTTATCCATAATTATAATCTAAATTTTGAATAGTTCAAAACATATTCTTTTCCGAGATATGCAATTCAAAACATAGTTTTAAATTAAATATAAAAGTGTTATACTACGGCAATTTGGTATTTTTATTATAGGGATAGTAGAAGATGGTTGAGGTTGGAGAAAAAAATGTGTCCAAAGTTAAAAGAAAAAAAGATACTATGATGTAGACTATGTGGCTACTTTATTTAATTCCCAATACACATGGAAACAAGTAACATTTTTCTCTTTAGGCTAATATCAATGGTTTTCTTCAAGAAAAAAAAATGACTTAACAAGAAAGGTACTTATAATCAAATGAAAATATTTCCCAGAAAAGAATACATATATTTGGATAAAAATTACGAGCACATTTTTATTTATTATCATTATATTAAAGAATTGTTTTAAAATTATTTCATTTTTCACTATTTTAAGGGTCTGTTATTTAATTACAGGATATATTAATTTTAAGAATTGACTTAACAAAAGTTGTTGCTGTGGTGTAGTGGTTATCACGTCAGTCTTACACACTGAAGGTCCCCAGTTCGATCCTGGGCAGTAACATTACTTTTTTTATTATTTTAGTTTTAATTAAGCATTAATAATGTTATTTTATATATGTTTTCTATTCTTTAAAATTTAAGTATTTTATTTTTCTGTTCCCAATAAAATTTCTTTTAGATGTTATGTCAATTTGGCTACTTTTGTTCTTCAAGCCATCAAATTATTTTGATCATTTTAATATATGAATACATTAAATGTTTACAACAATGACAACATGCTCACACAATACTCTTTCTCATGACATCATCTAATGGAATTTCTTTCACACAAAGTAAAAACGAAAATAAACTTAAAATATTTCGAAGAATATAAACTAAGTCAAATAATTTTACGTGGTCTATAAAAATATAAATTACAAGGACTATAAATATCTGAATCTTTACTTTTATTTCTCATCAATGTCGTGTCATTAAAAGCCACGTAGAATAATCTCTAACGTTAGACAATATGTATTTGTTTTATATTGACATTATAAAAAAATAAGGTAATAATTTTAATTCAATTAATCAGAATAAGAGAGAGAAAAAAAAGAAAGAAGATTTTAGGAAACATAGAAATAAAAATTAGAACAAAATGTAGGGCAGCTTCACAACAATCATCTCAAAGGTTTCAATTTTCTTGATCCTTCGTTTAACTCAAACATACATAACATGAAACACGCACTCAACAAAATTTATATATTGACTCAGAATGTACATTTTATAATTTTTAATAAATTTTAGTAAATAAAAAAGTATTTAAAAAATTATATATAAAAAGTGTATATATTTCTATTATTTTTCTACTACACACATGCACGTGTCTTTGATTTTTTATACCCCCATATTCTAAAACAATGTTAAAATATCTACTCTTAATTGTTTCAGAGTGTGAAGAATTTGTAGCCATGGAAATTAAGCCAACTAAACCCAAACCAGTGAGGTAGATCTTAGGTAGCCACATACCACACCAAAGTAAGAACTACCACTAAATTAATCTAAAAAAGGAAGACTTAAATCCACATTTATTGTTCCCTGGCTGCATACCAAACACAATTAGTAATAATAAACTACAAAGATCATGGTTTGGTTCTGGTAATTTCAACCTAATCATGTTGGATCAGTACTAATTCATGATTAAGTAAGAGAAGCTAATGGAAATTTGTTTAACACCAATAACACAAATAGAAGTGAAGGGTGCCCGATTTTTTGGTGATGGGCTATAGTGTAGTAGGGACAATAAGGACACAGAAAACCACAATTCATGCATTTGAAGTTTTTTGTTTGTATCCCTAGAAAGAGTGAACCGATTCTACTACAAAATTCATACCTAGAAGCAAAATCCATAACAACTTCAAATTACTCCATTCTTCAGTTTGGTTGAGTATTTTCCTACACAACTCACATAATTCCAAACTATTCAATCACAGCTATTCAACTCCTGAGATCACAAGTCACGGCAAACATCTTTAAGATTGGAAAATTCTTGTTCATCGTAAAATATTGGAATACAATTACTAGTCTAAGTTGATGAATGTTGGGTATAAACAAAGTCTCACATCGAATAAAATATGAAATACACATGGGTTTATATAAACATAAGATACACACTTTAGTAGGAGGGTTTTTATCGGTAATTCTATTGTTAAGTATTTATCATCACAAATACAACATACTTAGAAGTGAGAAGAAGTAAACATTAATAATTATTTTAAAGTTTTAAGTTAACATTAATAATTATTTTTAAAGTTTTGAGTTAAAAGTAGTATAAATTTTTACTAACGTTGAACCCATGAGTTACTATATTAACTATTGAGTGAAATTCAAAGGGATAAAGGGAAACGCTCTAATTTTACGGAAGTGAAAACTTTCAATGTGTTTGTAAGAACACATGTCATTTATGTGGTGTGGTGTGGGTGTGTTGTATTATCCAAAAGGAAAAATTGTGTGAAAATGATGTCATACAAAATTACAAATAACGTGGAAATATTAAAATAATAGAACTTAAAATACTCGTTGTTCCTCCTTTTCTTTTTCTTTTTGTTTTTTTTTTCACAGAAAAGGACATGGACATCTCATGATACCACTGTCTGGCCGTGACTGGAAACTGAGGAATGGTAAGACCAAAACATATAACTTATGTTGTGGTTGATCTTACATTTGTTTATGTTTTTTGAATTGAAAAATAAAGTGTATAAAAGATGATATTGCGCGTCCACATATTATGGCGAAGTTGATGAGAAGTTCGTGATCGAAGCAGAAATTAGGATGGGCCTAATTAACAAAAGAAGCAAAGCAATGATTTATTATAATTAATAAGAATTAGAGCAAGGAGAATATATAAATATAAATAAAAAAAAATGTAATGGAAGGAAGTTCCCAACCTACATGTGCTAATGTCAATGAGTGATCACTTACTTCTCTTTTTCTGATTTCTTATGCATTCAGACACCTCACGCAACGTATGTGTCCACATGCTTCGCTTACCAGCATTCACCAAAACGTGCACATAACTAACTTTAGATAAGTGGCCACTGTAAGTCACTTCAAAACTCTTCCATCTCTTTCTTTCTCACCCTATAATACGTGTCGACATTTATGCCCTTCTCTCACCCTAAGACACGTTACTAAAAACATTTATGTTGTTATTTTTCATGGAAGAGAAAAAATAACATTGTTGTCATTTCTTTCTCATGTCCTTTTCTCATCTCCCTTCTGTGAACTGCATAAATAATAACCCTCTACTTTGTAACTACATACTAGAAAGACAGATAGAGAGTATGGTTGATGGGTCCAAACACTGGACCACACTCTACTATACCTCCTAATCAAACGTTTCTTTGTGGTCTCAGACTCACCAGTATCTTTCTTGGGAGCATCAACTTTTGTATGGGCGGAACTTCCATTACATAATCACACCACAAACCTACATACCCACCCAACTTGTCTTCTTTATTTTTTTCTCATCAAAATATCAAATTTACCAAGAACTAAACGGTTGGTAAACTGGGTTAGTGAAATGGTTGAGACATTGTTATTTTAATTTGGTAATCACCCCTTAAGAGGAGAAATGAGTGTGGTAGCTAGAGTAAGTGAGGAGAAGTGAGAAAGACAGAGACTGATAGAGAAATTGTTTAAGTATTATTGAAGTGATAATGATATAGATAAAAAGGCAAACAGAGGAAGCCTATCCCATGACTTTTGGTTGTGGATATGGTGCAATCAAACTCTGGCCATGCCAATCCATTCCACCGATCCATTCATCTTCTACTCTAATTCTTATGATTCATTACTAAGAAACATCCAAACTATAATAAGATACATTAAAATTAATAAAGAGAGAGGGAAAAAAAAAGGGAAAATGAAGATGCTCTATGACTCGATATCACTTTTCGTGAATGAAAGGCAACCATCAACACTAACCACTTACTTACTCAAAGTATTCCAAAACTTGAACGAGTGGATAATCCAAATGGGAAATTATTAATAAAAGGAAAAAATAATCCAAAGAATCGATAATTAAGAATAATTGTAAATTAAAATAGAGCTAATAATTCACAATGATCATTGATCAAATAATATAACTTTTCTCCCCCTCTCCGTCCAATTCCCACTCTGGCTTCTAATAATGGCATCCCACCAAAGCCGGAGCAGCCGACAGCATCATGGAATTCTGATTCCCCGAAAACTGAAACTTCGAGTCCCGGAGATCGTCCTCCGGCGCCGGCAGGTTGAGATCCAATTGTAGAACATTCCGAGGCTTAACTTCAACGGCACCGTCAGAAGTTGTTGTCGTCTGAACAACAACAGTATTGATATTATTAGTATTATTGTTGTTAGATGACCTGTGCCTCCTCATGTGGCCACCCAATGCTTGTCCTGATGTGAATTCTGACCCACAAATGGAACACTCGTGAATCTTGGACTTGTTCCCATGGAAATTTAAGCCACCCCTATTGTTTCCACACCCTAATTGAAGCGAAACGGAAGGGCTAATCTTCATGTGATTCGGTTTCGTTTCTTCAAAATTAAATAGTTGCGAGGACGAAGACGGTGGCGGTGGCAACGACGGTGGTGGGGATTTCTTTTCCTCAACCTTGGGCTTCTTGTGACTCGCTCTGTGGCCACCGAGTGCTTGAAAAGAAGGGAATGTTCTGTTGCATGTTTTGCACTCGTAAACATAAAATTCAATTTTGCTGCCACCCTTCTCCGTCTTCACATCATCACATAAGTCCTTGTGATGAAGAGGATCGCTTCCTCCTCTTCCCTGTGCCAGGAGAATCAAACAGTTTGCCATGTCTTCCTCTTCCTCCTCCAAGGTGATAGACGAAAACGACCCACCGCCGCCGCCAGAAGCACTCGAACAGCTTGATGTCATGGCGGCGGCCGTGGCAGTAACGGCGGTGACAACACAAGGTGACAAAGGCCTCAGGCGTCGCTTTGTTCGCTTCCCTTTGGCTATGTTGGTGGGATCGTTGTTGCATGAGACAAGCTCCTCCATGGCCATGCCTTCCATGTCTGATATTTCTGACAACATTAGATATCCTATACGGTACTAAACAAAGACAATCAAACAGTGAGCTCTATGAACAGCACAGAGGTTTTTGGCTTTGCAATAAGAGATGCAGTAGTAGTGGAGAGAAAGAGACACAGAGACATGTAGAATTTATATGGAGGAGGAGTGTGTGAACAGCTTTTATATATATATATATTTATATTTATATATATATTTATATTTATAAATATTGGTAGTGAATGGGCAAGAAGAGGGTTTGTTATGTTATGATAATATGTTACAGTAGCTACTCCAAATAGTCAGCCACCCAAAATCTTCCTTGCTTTTCTAACCTTGGAAGTGTTGGAAACAAGAAAAGTTCTTGTGTTTGGTCACGCGTCTTTAACAGCGTGTGGAAGCACGCTTCAATCATGACCATACTTTTTTTTTGCCTTGTTTAACTGCTGCAATTAATGTTTTCTTTTCTTTTATTTATTTCTGTGTATGGTGGAAGTACTTTTTACGAAAGAATATTATATTTTCTCGCCAGTTTGTGCTCCAGAACAGCACACTGTTTTCACACACAGACTCTGCATGCGTATGATTCATCAATGATTAAACATGCTTTGCATTTTGCAGTTAATGTTCGAATTTAATGAGAAGGAGCATGTCAATTTGTTAAATGCCTTTTATTAAAAATATTGTTTGATAAATTTAATGTATGATTATTTGTTTTTGTAAAATGTTTATGTTAAAACATAAAAGTAATAATCTAGATGGAGATGGTTGTGGCTTTGAAGCAAACACTGATGTATACTATAATTAGCAGTGGAAGAAGAAAAGAAAAGGAGATAAGTAGCATGTGATTAAGTATAGGATTCGGGTAAGATGCATGGACTAAGGAGGGTATATGTAACATACAACTCTATCACATAACCACTGTAGGACGGTTCCTACTTTTATTAAATTCCTCATTTATACTTAATCTTCTCATTAAAGCTCTCTAATTCTAGATTAAAAGTTAAATTAAATTATAATATAAATAAATATTGTTGCAAACATCATCATACGAATGGTGTGAGATTGAAGTAGATTTAATTTTGTTTTTTTACACAAATAAATTTTATTTGATAAATTTATTTTATAATTAAATTAAATTTAAACATTTAATCTTTTTTCTTTTTCAATGTAAAATTTTAGCTTATTATAAAAAGCTTAATCTTCTGCTTAAAGTAACGTTCAGGAGTTGATGTTGCAGCTAATCTGTCATCATAATAACCATCATTTATGGCAAAACCAAAAATGTTAATGTGATTTCATGCAGAATGAGAGCTTCGAAAGCTGGTTAAATCACGATATAATATGAATACTTTATTAATAAATATTCGTGCCTAACAAAAAAAAAAATATGTTACATTGTGTAATACTACGAGCTTCTTTGATTTTATTTGTCTTTGTTTTTTCTGCAATTTGTACCGGTTAAGGGGCTTGTAAGCATTTTTTTTTAAAAAGGTCAGACATGTGTTAAAAGAACTTAATTATTAAATATATTCCTTTCCTCTAATCTTTTATTTAATAAAAAATAAGCTATATGTTAATGTAGATAATTATAATTAATATATAGTAATAATACATAGGCTTCAATTTTCCTTTAGAGAAAAATTTTAATTTTTGTAACCATGATTTATTTGTTTTTTTATCTATAAAATTAAATTGTTTTTTTATTCACTCTATACTTAAATATTAATTAACTTTTTTAAATGGCAAGTGTTTGTGACATAATTTTGACATTAGATGCTTTTCAAGATTATTTTAAGATCAATATTATTTATCTATTAAAAATTAAATATTAATAACTAATCTGTTTTTTATGGATAAAAAATAAAATTAAAATTAAAAAAATACTTACTGTCAAAAAAGGGTATTCTACCAACTGTCAACTTTTTATACCATTCAATTAATTTATTTTATTACCATATCAGGTATTTTAAGCTTTGGTTGAAATTTATAATATTTTTATATCAGAAATGTAACATTGATTCATAATATATGAGGTCATGCCATTTTTGAAAATTTGAATGGATGTTTTAGATTTATTTCTATGCAAATTGATTTGTTACATAATATATTTCTAGATGGATTATACAGGTTAGGAAATATTTTTTAGTCTGGTATTTCTAACAACTAATTAGAGTGTTTTGAAATTGTTGATAGATTTTGTTATCATTTATAGATATCAAGAACTAATAACCAAGGAAAAACTCCAAATCAATTTTTACTACAAAACGATTTAAAAATTCAAACAAAAAATTTCACATTTCAAATATATGTTCATATTTATATGTTTCCACTCCATTTAATTACAATTAATTATTCTCTGCCTAAAGAAATTAAAGATACCTCATATGAGATGACTTTCAAGAATATAGCATTAAAGATACCTTAATGACAAAACATTTCAAGAAGGCATTGTAAACACAATATATACATTATATTACATGAAGTACATTAATTCACCAGAAAAAAAAAATCAGAGATGAAAATGTGATCTTAAATGAAATTTAAAAGATGTGAAAAGGTAAAAAAGAAAAAAAAACAGTGTGATTTGGAATCAACAACGTTTAGGGGATAATTAAGCATGTATATTGATTTGATATAATTAGTAAATAGGTTATAGTTTGAAGCATTTCATTCATGGGGGAGTGGTCCAGCACTATCGGTTTAATAAAATTTTATGTTACTGATTAAGTGGATCTCAAATCATTGACTTAATCGTCTTTACTAAGACATGGTCCACTAGTTGGTGAGAACTATACTACTCGTTAATGTGTAATATATTCTACTAATTAATTCAAAAAAAAAATAACACACTACTAGTACTAATATTATCAACAAAGAAACAAAATAAAAAGTTCACTTCTAGTAATGTCTTCAATCCAAATATCACTATATTGTAAACTATATTATAAAGGCCAGTAACGAAGCCTAGAAGACTTATACCAGGCCTTAACTTTTTTAACTATTTTTTTATACATGTATATTAATATATAAATAAAAGTTTTTGTTTCTAATTTTAGTATATTTTATGTATTTGATATTTTCAAAATTTGACTATATTTATCTTAGCATTCCAAGAATATTTTTTGGAGATATATCACTAATAAAGGATACATTATAAAGGATGGGGTAATTTTGATCCCTCAATAACGTCATCAAATACATTATTTTTAAAATTATTTATGTTTCTATCCAACCTAACAGGCACAAGCGTTGTGGAACAATGCAAAACTATGCGTATTTGAACTATCTTTGCATATTATAACTAAATCTTGATAGTTTAGTATGTTAGTTATATTTATCTTTCTATTATTATTATTTATTATATACTGTTAAATATTATTCTAATAAGAATATAGATTTATGGTCATGTTGATCCTATAAATATACTTGAAGAATACACATTCTCTCATAAACACTTATACACATAATTTATATAAAAATCTAACTCTTTTACTAACTTGAGTGTCAAAGAGTCTTCTGTAGGTAGATCTTTCCCCTCTAAGGCCCTTTGCAGATGACAAGAACAATCAAATCATCATTAGGATCTTACTATCTGTCTGCAAGTTCACACTAAAGACTAAAATAAAAACAATTTCTGTAAAAGTAAAATCAAGAGTCCTTATTGATGAATAGGAAAACTACAATTGCTTGAGTATGAATAAGAAAAAACTTTATATTATTTGTTCATGTACAAAATAAAGATGATATAATAAAAAAATGTGCCATTGTTATCTTCAACAAGTAAAAAATGTATTATAATATTAAAAATTAAAATTACGCTTAGTTTAAGTATATTATTTTAATTTGACAAAATTATTCATCAAAATTTGTCACTAAGTATTTTTAATGACATTTTTTTTTTGTAAATACTAATTTCACCATTTGACATCATTTGCTAGTTTTGTGTGCTACCATCTTCCATTTGGTGTGAGGATTTGTTTGCTGGCAGATACGAAAGTAGTTCATTATCTGGTTCATGTATCGTTGACCCACATCTTAAGATCATGCTATATGTTATGGATCTACTAATTAATTTCTAGTTGCTCAAAGATCAAGAAAGTTGGTTGGATCAAATAAATTCTTTAATTTGTATGCATGTATATATTAAGCATTCAATTCCCATAATTGAAGAGATAAAACCACAGTTTTCTTAATATAATAACTATTACATAATTTCAAAAAAAACAAGTATATATGTGCTTACCGTTTATAATTTTAAATTAATTAATATCTATATTCTCGTAATTTTTGTCTTGTAATAATATTAATAGTTTATATAAATATACAAATTTACTTTGATAGTATAATGCAACATACTAGTTAGGTTCAGTTGTATAAAAGTTGTTATAGAAAATGCTAATATAATGCCTTCAACTACTAGTTGTGATGATATTACTAACATTTTTGTAATTTCTATTAACTAAAAAACATATATATTAAATGAAAACAATCCTAATATATTTAATACTTTTAGATATTTGTTAATCAATATACTGCAATAAATTCAATTGTCATTAAATAGGTGCATGCTTTGGACAGGGAAAAAAATTGTGTAATAAGTTGTTGATTTAATTAATGGTGGAATTCCTTAAGAAAATTATTAATAACTCCAACTCACACTTATATGTGGAAAAAAAAATCTGATTAGAAAAGGACAAGTAATCTTCAAGTGTCTTCAAATCTTTTGAAAGAGATTAGTCTTAGTAAACAAATGGTATATTTCTTGCAATTATATGTTTCAGAAAAACTAAAATAAATTGTCATATTTGTATGACAAGAAAGATCCAAAAATTGGCGTTTACCTTTGATTTGGAGTTCATGATCGTGTAATTAGGCATCAATTAATTTATACTGTTGTGAAGATAATGATTGAAAATGTGTGATAGATCAGTTACACAGTGTTAATAGGAAACCTTATCCCAATTAAGTTACTATTAAAATCTTATCACTTCATAATTCTCTTTTTGATATTTTTGTTTTTTAGAATCTTTTCGCTTTAGTAGTTATTCAATACAATGATTTTTAAAATGATACTTTAAATACATTGATTAAATATCCAAATAGAGAAAGTCAGTTGTAAATATAAAATTCATCACCAAATTACAGTATATAATGTGCGTGCATATTAA